AAAAGCTCAGGACCATGCATCGACGGGCCGATTTGCACTGCGGACTGGAAAACCCCTGGTGGCATGTGGACCCCTAGTCACTCATGCCTCATCTTTTTCGAAAGTAAAGACTCGATGCGTTGCATCTGATCCTCCAGCTTGGCGTCAATCCTCCCTTCAAATCCCTGAAGCTGATTCGAGATCTGATGATTGACTTTCTGCTGCTGATGCTGGAAGGAGGAAAAATTCTGCGTCAGCGAATGTACCTGCTGCTCCAATGCCTCAATGCGGGCACTCTGATCGACTTGCATCTGTTCTTCCTTAGGATCGGCCGAGGTGGCCTGGATCTTTTGCTCCAACCGCTGCTCCAAGGCTGCCAGTTGCACTGGCGTAACTGATGGCTGTGGCGTGTGCTGGACTGACTTCTTACTGCTTTGCCATGGATCCTGAGTGAGCCATGGATCTACTCCGCTGGCCTGACCTGTGTGAGTCAGGTTGGCGATGGTCTTCTTGGAGGCAATAATGTTGTTGGAGGATGGGATCGGCACTTCTCGCTGGTCTTCAATCTTGGCAATCAAGATGTCGCCGTGCTTCATTTGGTAGATCCAGTGGGACGGCTCCTGAGGGGCCATAACTTGCCAGAAGATGCCTTCATGGACTTGCATCTGAGCAATGGGCTGGACAGGTCGGGCGTTCCAGCCTAGGTGCTTGAACCCCTTGGACAGCGAGGCCTTGGTGGAGCCATACGGGAAAGGTCCCACCTTGTATGGTCGGAGCTCTTGTCCATCCAGAAACATCAAATCGGGACGGTGCTGTTTGTGGACCTGCTCGGCATGTTCTCGGCTGACTCGGAGGCCAAGTCTGGGGCCCATGCGAACTATGGTTGTCTTTGCTTCCGTTTGGCTTCTAGCGAATCGAACTTCGGCCAAGGTCTTGCGCGGCATCCAAATCACATGAAATTGTGGGGCCGGTTTGCGGCCGTCCATGGTCCTGGGTTCGAAGTAAATGCCGTCGACTGCTGCACTGGGCATGAGGTGGTCCGCAAACTTCTCTGTCACCCGAACGAGGAAGGCGAAAACTTCAGCTTGTCCAATCGGAGTGCGAGCTAGTTTGGCATCCAGTGATTGCCTATCCCAAACATCCAGGATGTGTTCGGTTTGCGGGAAGGCTTCATGCTGCATGAGGTGGTGTTCGAACACTGCCTTCACCGGGTGTTGGATGAACCCTGCCCACGGAGTTGGCCATTCATCTTTGTAGACGATCACCTTAAGAACCCGTGTTTGGATTTCCTCGAGCGCGAAGCTTTCGACCGGGACATGTCGGCTGACTACCTGTGTGCCGAGCTGAAGCAAGGCAGCCGTGACAAGCATAGGCTCTCCGGTGGAGGCCGACATAGCCGGGACCCTGATCGATTCGGCATGAGATGGCAGTCTCGGGTCTGCGTGGTCCAGGATGAGGAGGGCCAGACCTGCGGCGGATATCGGCGCTGTCAGGTGCAACAGGTGTGCGACTTCCCCAATATTGCAGAGGGCTACCCCCTGTGCATGAGCTTCGACCTTGTGGAGCGGAAGTGCGGACATCTTTGTCCCGTCTTGCTGTATGAAAATGGCATCCGGCAACTTGATCTGCTCTGCAGTGGGAATAACCGGTAGCTTTGGGCCTTTCACCGAGGCCTGTTTGTTCGCCTTGGACCCCATTGGTTTACCAGAGGCCAACCGGGCTTTGACTGCTGCATCGACTTCGGCTGCGAGGACGATTCGAATCGGGGGATTGGCCTGTGTGGCGGCTGTCTTGAGATCTTTCCATGGATGCGGACTACCCAGGATCTTTGTGATGAGATCGGCCCCCAGTTGCTGAATCAGACTTGTGGCACAAGTCGCCAGTCGGTCTTGGTGAACCCCATGTTGCTTCAGCAATGATTGGAGGAGCAATTGGTCAGGGTTGACCGCCCCCCCCAGTCGGATGGCCTCCGTGACTCGCACTTCCTGCTTGATGACATGGCGTGCAAACAAAGCTCTCCAGTGATCTGCCTGGGCCGGGATGGTGGCTTTGGGACTCTCGGTACCTATGGCATGTGCAAACATCCAGCTCACTGTTTGAAATCCACAGTCTGCAGGGAAATTGGTCGGCAGTACGAATGACTTGAATGTGAACTCGAATGGCCCACAAGCTTCAACTACTTGCCGTTGAACGGATACCTCCAGGTCAACAGGAACATGCATGACTGTGCTGTGTGGTTGTACATGTAGTGCAATCGGACTCCAATGGCTGGCAAACAGTGTGGGTACCATGAACGTGGTCCGGCTGGAGTTTTCCTCATTTGCCTGTAGACACTGCAATGCCCATGTGGCCAACTGTTGATTTGTGTCATCCTGGAGGTCAAGCACAATCGGGTCCCCTACTTCGTTGCCTTGGTTGCGGAGCAAGCCCGAGTAGAAGCACATTTCGTCGACTGCTACCAGTGGTCCCTGGGTGATCAGTCCATGCACGCGAGTTTGGCGTTCGGGCACAAGGCTGAGGATCTGGCCTGAGTGAACTTGCGAACATGTAGGGACTGTGTGACATGCTCCATCATCGACAACATACCAGGCTGCTGGGGCCAACAGGCTCCGCAGGGGAATCGGGATTCCTGACAAGGTGGTGATGACTATAGGCTGCTCAAAGGACCTGAGACCGGCTTCTGCTTGGGACAACTGTCCGATGGTGACCCCTGCGTGTGTGCTCACTAATGTCATGGTACCATCAGGCAGGTAAACGGTGACTGTGAACGAATCGGCGGGCAAAAGCTTGAGACAGTCTGGGTTGAGCTCAGTGGGTTCACAATCAATCTCATGGTGATCGAACGTGCTGGCAGACCTGGACCTTTGAATCTGCGAGGGAATCTGATCTGCGGGGCCTTCCGTGGGCACGGCCCCCCCCCTTTTCCTTTTCCCCTGGCCAAGGCACTAGGGCCACTGACGGCATGTGTGGCCGTAGCTGGGTCAACGCCCACCTCAGCTGGCATCAGGACTGAGTTCCTGGGATGGGGTGTGATCGGGCGCTCAAAGCACGACAACGCCTTGTTGGCAAACATCTCAATTCCACCTGTGGCAGAGACACCTGGGACTTCGAAACATGGCTGTGCAGCTGGCTCAACTTGGGCAGCTTTGCGTTTGTGTGATTCCTTTGGAGGCTGAGGCTCACTAGCTACCGATGCCACAATCTTGGGGCCATGCACGACTGGAGCATCGTATGTGATGCCTAGCTTGGTCAACACTGCGGCCTGAAACAGAACAGATTCTTTGGTGTGTTCAAACGGCTGCAGCATGCGATCTCTGGCCTCGAACGATGCGAGAGCGAGTTGCTGTAATCCCTCCAAGGCCAAGGCACCTGACGAATGCGATCCGAATGTGCGATCGATGGCTTGGGCAACCTGTGCAACATGCCATAGAGCTTGAGCCGGTGCGGCCATTTGGCCCAGGGCTGACAGGTCTAACCTAAGACTTCGTTTCTGGTCGGTCTGCAGGTGAGTCGGGGGCACCATGTGCAGGATGGCTACCTCATCAGGGTGGATGTGTCTCATATTGGGAATCTCAATCCCTCGAACTGTCGTGGTACCTGTGGTTGGAATCAGGGCCCCAAAAAGGCCCTTGTCAGCCAGCCTTTGGGGGGAAAAACCTCCAGCTCTACAGCCACAAGCGCATGCCGTGACTTGAGACCCCCATGCATGGAGAGCAGTGGCCAGTGGCTTGGTGGGACTCACGGCGTTCTTCCCCAACCCCCCTGGTTGCTCAGCGAATGCTTCAAGCTCATGGGCAGAGAGGCTCATCTCTTGCACTTGATGGTCAGGCCATTGTGGCATGACAGGCAACAGGTGTCGAAAGGACGGAGTGAAGTCCAGCTCTGGAAATTTCTGCAGCTCAGGCATGGAGACCACCGGGTGCACTACCGTAGCACACCATCTCGTCCTACGTGCTGGCCAAAAGTCCTGGAGATTGCAGATCTGTTGCTGGCATGAGTAACCCGTGCTCTGGCAGAAGGCCTGGATGGTCGCCTGTACCCATGGAACTGTCAATGCCTCTTTGGTGCACTCCAAGACCATTGCAATTGGCTGAAAAAGGTAGCATGTCTTGATCATACCTTCGAAGCTCCGAGCCCTTGGGTCCAGCTGGTGTCGTTGATCACCAAGAGACGAAAAGGGCTGACAAGCAAATCCCCCAGTGATGATGCATGGGGTGTCCATGTGTGCAGTTAACGCCTGCAGTGTTTCCTCACAGTCGATGTCACCATGGAGGACAGGGATCTGCTTGGATCGAAGCCAATCGGCATAGCGATCATTAATCTCGACGTGGCAGCGCACTTGACAGTGAATCCCTTCGTAACCAGTTGTCATGATGGCATATCCAGCGCATATGTCAACCACATCTGTCGCCGATTTGCTTGTAGGCGGTCCATGTGTCACCATCGTGGCCTGGGTAGCATCAACAAACAACATGCCATCTTTCGAACTCTTGCAGGCAGAGATCACAGAAAAACGTTCGCCTTTGAGATGTGCTCCAATCAACCAAAACTTTTGACCAGTCAGCCATGTAGTACAGCTATAGGCCATCATCTTGCTATCAAAAAACCAGGCTCGTCCAGCAAGGGATATCGAACATCCCTCACCAACAGTGTGTATCCATGGCTCGGGGTTGAACGCGCCCTCCCAAGTCATCTGCTTGCGCAGGTGCACCGTCTGACAGGTACTTGGGCCGACACCTCGCGATGGCCTCCAACCCAGTCCGTAGATAAAATGTCCGCTTCTGTTCACCAGACCACACGCTATTGTCAAATTAAGTCCTTTGAACACTCTGGCCTTGACCGTCTGCTTGCCAAGCAGCCTGGGCCAATGCAAGCCAAAAGGCTTTTCAGGCCTATGCCAATGTATGTGCGTCCCTTGAGGTAAGGCCAGGAGCCCCTAGCAGCGTCCTTGTTCCTAGTAGTGAGGCCAGGGGCCGCCCTCTGCAAAGGTCTCCTTTTTCAGTAATCGTTTTCTGGCGATGTCAGCTGGCTTTTGCAGCTTCGCTGCGTTTACCTCAGTAGGATAAGGAACAGTTTGCCCCTCAGGCAAGTACAAATCTAAAGGTGCACTCTGCTCCTGAATGCCTCGATTCCACCGTTCGAGGTTCCGTGTCAAACATCTTAGATGTGTTTTTGTTCCAAAATGTCAAACTTAGACATCCTTGTCTCGGCATCAGTCCATTCCCGTCCAAGTGTCGCAGGATGGATGCTTGACTTGCTGCGTCTGGAACCTGCAAGAGTGGATCCCTCTCAATGACATACAGTGTGTGTCACATGTTTTCTAAAAAAGCTATGATGATTCTTTGTGAATCAAGATAATATGTTTAAAAAAAATAAACAAAAGAACAAATAAAAAGAAAAGAATTGTAAAGAAGTAAAAGAAGGCTTAAAACAAGGAAAGGACGAAATCAATTGCGAAAGGGTCCTTTGATTCTGTTGCTTCCCTGAAGAACCTCAGACCTACCTTTCAGCAAATCTGCCTTACCGAATCGCTTCATCTTTCTTTCTTACCAAACTCCTTAAATATTCCCTACTTATTCTCCTACTTCCTTTAAGGAGTTTTTTATTTATGCTTTTCTATACCTTTCCTTCCTTGGCTTCCTTTTTGAACCCCATAAAGAAAAATACCCGGCTACAGGTCCATAGTGGCATGTGGGTCTCTGTGGCTCCCTGTGGGTGAATTAAATCGAAGACATCCGCAACAAAAACGCTGAGCCATGTCTTTGCCCACACCCCTAAAGCAAACCAAATTTAAAAAAAAGAAACTATCTTTCCAAAACCTGTTCCACTCTGAAAGCATGTTTTTGCTAGATTGGAGGCCATCGCTAGTAGGTTGGAGGCCATCGCTCTAGTAGGTTGGAGGCCATCGCTAATAAGTTCTTTTCTATTTTGTGTCTTACTAACTCACAATGTTTTCTACTAAGCTTCCCACAAACGTTTCCTGCGCGCCTGCGCTAACGGGCCTTCAAAAAGCTCTGCTGCGCGGCGAAGAGCGCTTGAAGCGTCATAGCCATGGGCATCCCATCCAAAGTTCCTAAAACACAGAGAAGAAAGAAGAGAGAACAAAGTCTACAGAAACGTAATCAAAGAGACGTCTAAATAAGTAAAAAACACCTGGAACAAGACTTCCAGGACTTGAAGCTTTTGGACATCCTCGTCTTCCGCGTGTTTAAAACTCTTGGAAGTTCATCCGTTTGGAGTGGTGCTAGACAAGCGCAAGAGCTCACAAATTGCCATAAGAGCTCTTGCTGAACGTCTAGCACCGCTCAGGTAGGACCATGTCAGGCAGAGCTCCGACGGTGAAGGCGATTGTGTTCCTGGTCCATCTCCTGGCCCAACACCAGTCGCGCAAGGCACCGAATTGGAGAGCAGCGCTTGTTGTGCAAATCGTTTGAGGCTTTAGGCCTCTTCTTCCTCTTCCTCCTCCTCCTCTTCTTCCTCAGACTCCTGAACAAGATTCTGTCAAGCTTAAATCTTTGTGAAAATGCCCAGAGAGTGGCCATCTAGATGAAAGTTCCTCGAGCTCTTCATGTCCACATATTCCCACCTCCTGCGCTTTGGCTGCTTTCAAACGGCGTTCCTCGAGGATGTCTTCTGCAAACGCCTTATCGGTGCGGAGAAATGCTGTCAAAGCGAACGCAAACCGCAAAGAGAAAGGACAACCTACTAGCCATGGCCTCCACCCTACTTTGGCCACTAAAGTGGAACACACCAAAAGATGTTCGAAAAGGATGTGAGTCTTTTCGAGAAAAGAAAGAAAGTTTGTCTCTACTTTCCGACTGCTTTGGTGCCTCAAGGTGATCGCTGGCCAGCTGCAGCTCTTCTACACTGGAAGTGGAGTCTCCTGAAGTAAGAGTGTTCTACACTAGAGACGGGTATGTCAAACTGGTGTAGCACAATAAACATGTTTGACTCTTTTGCAATAATCTTCAGTGTCGTTCGATTGCGCCTGCAGCCAGAACATTGCATTGGCATAAAACATCATGCAACCTCCAAATATCACTTTGGCGATGTCCATATTCCAGCCAAGTTTCGGAGGACCAAATCTGCAAGGGAGGCCATGGCATGCCTTTGACATTGAAGCTTTGATGTTGAAATCTAAGAACATATGTAGCTCCGTTTATTTTTTCTTTGACACGAGTCAGTGCAAGACTCAATTTTGTGCCATGTCTACGTCCAAATGAGATTTGACAGCTTGACTTGCAGCTCACACCCTGCCTGGCGCCCAGTGTGGCCGCTCTCGCCAAGAGTCCCCGCAAGCTTTCTCGTTCAAAGCCTTTCACCTCAGTCATGGTTTCTTCGTGCAAAATACGTGCAACGCCGGACGTCCAACAGTATGGACGTTCCTTTGAACTGCAAGAAAACGTCGGAGAAATAAAGCACGCTTTATGTAAAACGTAAAGTCACTTTGAAGTCCAGTCGGCCACGAGGGTCAAGAAGGTAGTGAAGTCCGTTTACAGCAACACTAACGAAAGGGATTCTTGTGAATCTTCTGTGTTTCTGCTTCTTTAGAACCATTATAGAAGCAAGAAAATCAAAGAAAGAACGGTCAAAGGCAGTCAAAGGTATACAGAATAAGAAAGAAAATGTCCAACGAAGTCTTAAAAAACAAAAAATACATATATATATATATATATATCCTCACGGGTGTACTTAAGACTCACGTGTGTGAAAAACGCCGTTGTTTAAACGTTACAGTATTTACGTTGTTTTAGGAAGATAAATCGCAAAAAGAAAGACGACGTTTGTTTAGAAGGCAACGTATCGAGTTCTTGTTAGTCTCACTCGTAAGTACCTGCACATCCTAGACAAGAAATGACTCCATCACTGTTCCGATCAAAATGATCAAAGGCCAACGCCCAACACTCACGGGTTTGAAACACGCATGTGTGCAAGAAAACATGTGTGCGAAACACAGCACGCTTCGTGTATACATATTGGTGCGCAAAGCGCAGAAGCGTTTCCTTTGTACGGGTGTGCAACTTGAACCGAACGTTTTAATCCCACCCCACTCTCAGTCACTGGTATTGTGCGCGTAGCGTCGAAAGGTTTCGGCTGTGTGGGTGCGCACTTTGAACACGTTATCGCGCCATCCGACCAAAACCCTCGGAAACGTGGAAACGTGGAGCAATTCTGAAGTCGTAATTACATCGACCGGCGAAAACGCAAGTTGAAAATACGAGTATTTTCCGCGACACATTCCGAGAAGAAAATGTAAAAAATAGACGTGCAAATAACGCATGAAAGTACACGTGAGGTTTAAACACTCACAGTCTTAAACAAACCCGTCTAGATATATATATATATGTGTATATTTATGTAACATATATATATATATGGTTTTCTTCCTCTCTAGGGTGGAGGCCACCGCTATTAGGTTGGAGACCATCGCCAGTAGGGCGGAGGCCATCACCAGTAGGT